AACCCGGCAGGCTGATCCGCGCCTTCACTACGGGTGATTTAATGAAATCAATGATCTGAACGCGGTCTAGACTGCAAGCTAGCCAGCCAGTTTTCGATTTGTGTCTGGGGCGAGCGTAGCGTAGCGGCTGCTGAGTCAGGAGGCATTTTTCAAAGTGACTTTGGAACAAGGATTTTGCAACAGGTTTTCACCCGCAAGATGTTGCAAGGACGTCAGTCCACGGAACTCGCTCTTCTCAGGAAACAGCCTGAAATGTGCTTTGTTTCCTCACGGAAACGAATGCGATTCGAGTCTGGTCATTTATGCTCAAAAGTGAAGACAAAATAAGGAGGAAATTCCTTTCCCCCCACCCTCAAAAACACAGGACGTCGTAAATTTGCATAACATTTATCCAGAAATGCAAAAAAGGGACCGCTGCTCTATCGTTTAAATAGAACCCGCTATCTCTCATCCGTCGCTGCGCGCGGACTAGATAACCTAGCTCCCTCTGTTATTCATTTGCTAATAATTGTGGATGGGCCAGCTTCACAGTCCTACTATTCTTGTGGGTCTTTTGGGGGCTTGGCCAGGACAATCGATCAGCAGAGAAGTTGTCAAATGAAGGATCATCTTTGTAGAACAGACCTGAGCAAACCAGAGGGCTCTTTCCATTTGGTTTGGCCCCGGAAACCATTTTATTTAGTCACATTTAATCAATTGTGAAGCAGGTTAATTGTCACAGCAATTCCAGGTAGCATGCTTTTTTTTTTTTTAATTATGTGCCGTAAAGTCGTGTTTGACTCCTAGCAACCAAATACATCAGGCACATCCAACCCATGGGCCACATGTAGCCTTGGAGAGGTAGTACAGCCCCACAAGTTCATAAACCTTAAGCGGTATTGTACACACATATGTTAACATGCATCATGTGAAGCAAACCAAAAGGTTAGACAGGGTTGACATAGATTTTCCCCATGATGATTGAGCTCCAACCTGTCCTTTCAAGCCTCCCAATAGCCATAAACAAAACAAAACACAACACTTTGGCAACCTATGCTGGTGAATCAACAACTAAAAGCACTATGCAGACATCAGTTTCAAAAGTGGAGTCTCAAATTGCCTCAAGACCTGATGAAGAATCTCCAAGACCTGAAAAGTCAACAAGGTCTGTCTACCTGGATTTGTTTGTGTGTGTGTGTGTGTCAGACGTATTCAGCAGGTTCTGACCAGTTCTGGAGAACCGCTAGCAGGAATTTTGAGTAATTTAGAGAACTGGCAAATACCACCTCTGACTGGAGATTTTACAGTATCCTTCCCCTCCACGCCTACCAAGCCACGTCCACAGAACCTGTGTGTTTGAGAGAGAGAAAGAGAAAGAGAAACAGAGAGAGAGAGAGAGAGAGAGAGAGCGAGAGAGCGAGCACAATAATGTTGTCCCAGAGGAGGTGGCAGCCATAGGAGAAGCCCATCTGACATCCCATAAGATGGAATTGTTTTAACAATGTGATTTGATTAAAGCCCATTCTTCTAGAATCTTCAGAATATAAACCAACTATTGGAGAAAAGCATTTAAATAAATACCCAAGAAAGAGCCAGTTTAGTGTGGTGGCTAAGGTATCCTGTTACAAACCACGAGACTGTTAGTTCCTTCCTGAAGCACAAACCTAGTTGGGTGACCTTGGGCCAGTCACTATCTCTCAGCCCTAGGAAGTGGGCAATGGCAAACCACTTAAGAAATCTTGAGAATTGCAGAGTCTTGTGCAAGCAGTCAACCCTGACCTGGAGGCATCTGTGTGCACAGCTATCCAGGCCCTCTTCCTCCCAAAACTTCCCTCCCAGAGAAGCCTGAAGATGATGCTTAATTCGTGTATGCATTGTGTATACAGATACAAACACATCATATGCAAGTGTGTGTATATACACATGCATACACACAGAGTATATGAATTAATATCAAATGAATTATTTTCCCTGGAAGTCTTTATGCATAACCCTGCCTGTGATGCCCCAATTTTTTACGGCTTGTATATATCAAAGAATTCATTTGGACATAGCCCGAATATTCAACTTTAAGAATGTCATCTTATTTTGGAATTCTGCCAACCTCCAGACAAATGATAACCCACAATATTTGCATTTCCTTTAAACCAATATTCAGGTAATATATTAAATGCTACTAAAAATGATTCCTTCCTCAAAGGAAGTTCAGCATAGTTCAATATAATAAGAATAGCATAATTCATGCAATTTAGTGCTCATGTACAAATATTTTTAATGGTATTAAATGGCATCTTTAATACCATTAAAATATTACCATTAATGGAGTAAGAAAGATACTTTTAACTGTCTAGTAAAAGAAATACCGGTTATACTTGCATGACACATTTATCCATTATTTATTCAGTTAGACCAATGGTAGTCAACCTGGTCCTTACCGCCCACTAGTGGGCGTTCCAGCTTTCATGGTGGTCGGTAGGGGTTTTGTCCCCTACTTTATAAATCACCATTACTGTGGAACCGGTGGGCGGTTAGAGAAAACTTTACTAACAGAGATACAAAAGTGGGCGGTAAGTATAAAAAGGTTGACTACCCCTGAGTTAGACCCATGATGGTGAACCTATGGCACATGTGCCGGAAGTGGTATGCAGAGCCATTTCCGCCGGCATGCGAGAGGTCGCCCGGAACAGACCCACTGCGTATGCGTGTGCCTCCCCCGCCAACCAGCTGATTGTCGGGTATCTGCCGTGCATGCGGGAGAGAGACGCGCGTGCATGAGCAGGGGGGTGGAGGACATGTGGGGGAGGTCATTCACATGCACAGGCATACAGAAGGTCACGTGTACATGTGCAGTGCATGTGCAGGGATGGGGGGGTCATGCACGCATTGCATTATGAGTGCAGGCACGCATGCGCTCACACACATACACTTTCGGCAAATGACGAGGAAAAGGTTAGCCATCACTGAGTTAGACCATAAACCAATAAACTAATCATATGTTCTGAGATTTGAAATATGCCCATCATTAAGATGTTGGATTGGCAGCAGAGGGTCAGCTGCACTGTGCTGTCCAGCCAGTGTATGGGAATTGGATAGTTAGTCAGCAATTGTGAGCTGTCCCCTTAATGGTAAATGTAATTAAGGTATCCTGGGAAATGTAGTCCATGTCACGCGACCACATCTGTAATCCTGATTGGTCACTAAATTGACCCTAGATGGGTTGGAGGAGGTTTCCTCACTCTTGGCTGAACTCACGACTCATGGTAACTGTTCTACTTCTATCACTATGAAATGGGAAAAAGAAGATAACCATCTTTTTACCTACAAGACAGATATGCAAAAGATTGGTCATTAAAGAAGAACTTCATCACAAATGTGAGTTATGAGGATACCTGATGAACCAATAAAAGTACTTTGTTATGGATGTTTTATGGAGTCTGCATCTGAACAGAAGACAAAAACTACCACTGTACAGAATACAGAACATCCACTTTTTCATTCAAGCAGGGACTGTGGCTCTCTCAGCCCAATCACTGCATAGGGTGATTTTTGCACAGCCGAAATGAATGGTAACTCGCACGTGTGCTGCCTGCACCTTAGAAAAGGCAACGGTGAGTGCAATAAGTAAGCTCAATGTACCCTGTGAATGTAGCCCAGTGAGATGGATTATCAACTGGTGATCCTCAATTCCCAACTTTGCTGGGGAAAGATGAGGAAGGCCAATAGCTGAATCTCTTTCTTTAAAAGTTTAAAAGCAATCAAATGGCTTAAAGATCAGAGTTGGGTTAAATTTAATTTTCATATGTAGTTTATGCCTTGTGCAATAACCTTAACCCAACAACTTACTGCCGAAGATCACCTGAGGTTATCAAATTTGTTTTTGGGAGAGAGTCTGCCCATGTCTGAAGTTTTCCGCTATTTTAAGATACGGAACAAATGAATACTATGGTGGGTCCTAAAATAGACACACTACAATTAAACAGAAACCAAGAAACATTGCTTTAGTTCAACCCCATGAAACTGATATGGTTCTCAACTGCCCATAGGATTGTGAGTTCCAGAGTATATGATAGAAATGGTAGATAAATTTGGGGGGAATATAGTTAAGCATGTATTTGGGCCAAAGTTGTCCCACACCCAGGTTATATGTTTACTGTACATACAAAATTGATATACTGCTTTGGGTGTGAAGGACAAAGTAACCGTTTTTACAAAGTAATGCAGATTTAACACATATTGTTTCCAAGAGGTAAATCCTTCCAAAGTTGGGATTGGAAAATGTTAGATTAAGAGTTACAGCAGTTCAGCTCAGCTATTGATTTTCATAGTTGAACATTATTATACAGGGAATCCTCAACTGACGATCACAATATGTGTATGTTAATTTCCTACACCCATCACTCTAGAAAGCTGCCCTTATGATACAGAAGGAATGACTGATTCCAAATCACACATTGGTACCACCATGGCTAGGGGTAGATTCCTGGATCTACTTGGTTCTAGTCCAGCAGCATCTTAACCTCATCTTTGTCAAGCCCTGGGATTCCTAACAGTCTCTTGGAAATCCAGAAGCCCTGAGATTTCCTGGAGGCCTGCTTTAGAAATATTAACCCATGCTGGTCCTGCTGAACTTTTTCAAAGCAGCTAAGCCAAGGCGACATAAAGCCTTTTATGATCTCCTTTCCTGAAGCGAGGAGGGCTTCGGAGGGGACATCACTGCGGAAGGCTTTAGTGGGGGGGGGGGGACACCTCCCAGAGCTAGAAAGCCACTTTCCCTAAATGCGCTCTTGACATGCCCCAAAGCAACCCTTTGTTCTCCCCTTCGCTCCCGAGCGCTGGGAGCTGCCCAATAAAATTAACCCACTGGCGGGGCAGCAGCTGATCAAGCCTCGCCTTTCTTTTCCTGATTCATACCCGGGAAGGGGGTGGGGGAGACAGGGGCGCCCCTGGTCTCCGCCCTCACCGGGAGGAAGCATTTCCAGCCCTCTCCGCGCTCTTGTGCTGTGTGGAGGACAAGGGTGCGGCGGAGGCGGCAGCCCTCCCCTTCCGTCCCAGCGCGAAGTCACTCCTTGGCGCTCCTGCCCGCCCGGGGGTCACACAGTTCGGGGCTGCTGCAGCCGCCGGTCGATCTGTCGGTCGGAGCAGCTTCTCCTCCAAGCAGGCCAGGTCGCCGGCAGCTCCTGCACGAACCTAACTTTCCCATTGGGCGCCGGCGAGGCTGCCCGCCCGCCCCCGCCAGCTGCTCGCGCCCTTTGCCTGCTCCGCCGCCGCCGCGCACGGTTCGCAGAAGTTTCTCCCTTTGTTGGGGAAGCCGCGCGCTTGCTCGCCTTTGGCCACCCGGGACCGGGACGCCAGGGGAGCAGCAGCAGGACAGGTGACGGACGTCCGCGCTCGGTTGGCAGCCGGGTCGCCCAGGTAATGTGGCTCTTCCGGCTCGGGACTTTCTTGCGCTTTTTTTCTCTTTTCTTTCCAGCGGGGCAGTAAATAACCCTGGCCCTGGAGAGAAGGAAGAGGCCAGGTTGTGTGAAAGAGACTGAGTTGGGGGAAGGGGAGAGGTAAGATGGTTTCGCAACGCTGCGCCGTAAGGAGGGAAGGTGGTTCGCTCGGAGTCGAGGCTTGAATTGAGAAGCCCACCCTTGGGGGAGAGAGAGGAGGGAGGGTTATTGTGCATTGCCAGGTGGTGGGATCTTCTCTCCCAGTTGCCGTTCAAAAGCTGCCTGGGCTGGAAGCGAAGCTGGTTTCCAGAGCATGAATTGGCTCGCTTCCGGGGACGGTGTACATCCGCCCCCTTGCAGAGAAGCAGCTTTGGGCTAAAGAGGTGATCCGGGCGCAAGATTGTGGCCCCAGCCATTCCATTGACTGCTCCGACTGCAGTCAATGGACTGCGGGCTTTCTGTCAACCAAGGAACAGCAACATGTTCTTGGAAGCCAGCTGACAGAGCGCGGTGTCGAGTTTCACATAGGATGCCAAGTTTTGTTTGTTTCTGATATGGAGCGAGCGCCCTTTAATAGGCTTATCAGAGGGTCCAAAGGGGGGAAAGAGCGTAAACCCCCCCCCCCCATCCTTCTGCGCAATAGAAGCTGACGGAAAACACCTCGAGGTAGCAAGACTGTCTCCCTCCTCCATTCTGTAGTAAATAACAATGCATGTTGCTATCTAAGGAGTGGGCCCATAAAAACCGTTCAACCCAGAGTCAAATGATTTCATTGCATCACTGGGAACAGGCCAGATGAAAGTTAAATATGCTTCAGTCTGTTTATATTTTTACCTACTGCTTTGGCATGTTTTCAAAGAGTTTTCTCCTTTCAGCAATTATCTTAACTAAGTCCTGTTAAAGTTTCGCTTTTCTCCAGGCATCCCTTGAGATTGTCCTCATCGAATCTAAAGAGGTTCTCTTCAAACTTTGCACATCATAGCTTATATAAAACAAGCTGTTATTTGCAATTGGATAGATTTTAAACTTAAAATGCTTTCCAAGCTGGCTGTCTTGAATAATAGTAATGTTTCCTATTATTCAACTGCAGGGGTTTATTTGGTTCTACCTTCAAGAACAGAGCAATGTTAAGAGAAAGGGATTAGGTTTCATGAAAAATGATACTAAATGTTAAACAAACTTTTGTTTAACTTAACATTAGTTATCTTTGGCCATGGACAGATTAAAATTTTTAGAATTCAGTTCATTTAAACTGTATATCTAGACAGGCATACAAAGTATTTTAGATTTAAGTTTTAGAAATGCAGCCAGCTGCTAAAGAAATGTAATCCATAACAGTTTTTTATTTTGTAGAATGCATAAACCAGAGTTGGGGAGTCTTTAGCCTGACGCATTTTCAGCTTTTGCCTGTTCTGCACCACCATTGGATTTCAAAAATGTTCCTTTGGGTGAAGTAGAAACTTCTTAAAGCCTTGATCAAATCCACATTCTTTACCCCTTTTCCTCCCTTAAATAACTTGTAAAATATTTTTGGTTGATACCTACAAGTTTTTCATTCTGCCTTTCCTAATGCCCATGCTATTTCTTATAGCAGACAACATAAATAAAAGAAGCACAATGTTTCCCAAATCCAGAGGTAAAACCTTGGTTTGATACCCCATTAAAGGATTTAATCTCAACCAGCGATGCCTTCCAAATATGGCCAAAGTCCGTCTTTTAGCCTTTCATCACTGACCATGTTGGCTGGGGCTGCTAGGAGTTGTAGTTCAACAATACTGAACCATAGTACTGTTTGGAATAGAGCCAGTCAAGTGAGTATGGCAAAAGTCAGGTTTTATCTGTTTTGTTATAATTAAAAAGATGACTGATTTGATGAATGACTTAAAAACTAAGCAGCTTTGGTTTTTGAAAGGTAAATCTTATCCTGTGTTTCTTCCAAGACTTAAGAGTTATCTGGTCTGTTTACTATAGAAACAAGTCTTTCTGATCCTCATTTCCTTTAGCTACAATAGTAACAAGAATAAATGCCAATTAAACAATCTGTGAAAAAAAGGGTTTTATCTTCATCCTGAAGCCAACATTGAAATGATTTTTTTTTATACACTACTGTAGTTGTCTACCCACATATTATTTTTTTTGTATTTACAGCTCACATATTAGCAAATGCTTTAAGAAATACAGACTCCAAAATCTTTCCATATTCTTATTTATTTGTGGCTTGACAGGCATGTCTTAAAACTAAGCAGAGCAGCGAATGACATAAATGCTTAACAATCCACTTAAAATGTGATTATAAAGAAGGAAGGAAAAAAGAAACACATCTGAAAAACAAAAAACTCAGTGTTTATCTACACTGGTGTTTCCTTGCCTTCTTATGGCTACATTTGTGGCTCTGATAGTGTTCAGTGCAAATAGATGAAGTAGTGCAAACAGATCCAAATAGTGCAAAGGGATCCAAGTAATCTGAAGAAGCTAATTTGAATAAGAGCAATGAAATGTTGCAAACCAAAACAGAAAAGAAGTCCAGTTGCCATGACCTAACTTTCAGACAGCTTTACCTGGATGCCTGAGAATCTTCATCAGTTTCGATACAAATAGCTACAGAAATGAAGGAATGATAAAACAGCATTCCCAAACCTTTTCCTTCTTTATACAAAACCATTTATCAGAAAGCCCTTTTTACCCAGTGTAAGTAAAACACTTTAAGTCCGTTTGGATGTCCCTGTTTTGTAATTGGGGAATGCCCTTGTGCATTGTTATCCAAAGAAAGACTACTTTTATCCAAGTTGGGGTAATTTAGCCAGGTTTGGGAAACACTGGGTTAAAACTAAAATTTGCAGTCGTGCTAGAAATTGCAGTCGGATCTTCAGGCCAAAGTCCTTTCTCAAGAAGAAAGTCAACGTTGGTAGGTGAAGAGAATGATTGGGAAACTTGTTGGCTTTCTCTATAAAACTCTGCTAGGATTGAAGTATATTGTCTGCTAAATTGTTCAAAGGCAGAAGACAGTTATCTTATACTCTTACTTCTGATGAGGCTAAACCCCTGCCTAATCTTACACTCTGTGTGTGTGTGTGTGTATACATGCATGCATGAGCATACATGCACCCGCTTGTCTTCAGTTTTCAACGCCTGGTAACTCCATGGACTAGTCCCTGCAGTTTTCTTGGCAAGGTTTTTCAGAAGTAGTTTGTCATTGCCTCCTTACTAGGACTGAGAAAGAGTAATTGGCCCAAGGTCATCCATCTGTCTTTGCATCTAAGGCACTAGAACTCACAGTCTCCTGGTTTCTAGCCTTCTGCCTTAACCACTACATTAAAACGTCTCTCTTACACATTTCAAAGGGGGCACATTATTGCTCAGTTACTCTCCATTGTGCTTTCCTAATAGGTAATTTTCAGTGAGAGTGGTTGCAGTGAAAGCCCTTTCCATTTTTCTCATGTATACAGAAGCCTGCAGCCACTTGGGAATATACCAGATGTTCAGTTTTATCTTCCTGGAATCTGATGAGAAGTTTGGGATTGGAAGAAACTCACAGTGTGAATCTCTGCTATAACTTTTATCATAACTAATCACACTGTCAGTTAAAACTTGCAGCTCTGGTAAATATCTCCTAAAAGCAAGCCACATGGTTACTATCATTCATTGTATGTGGCTTAATCTTCAAGCCATAATGTTAACTAATGTTAACTAATTTATATCGCCCTCCTTGGTCTGAAAACCATGATCACTTTGTTGAAAAGGAGAAATATGGAAAGTTAAATGAATGGAAGTATTTCTAAATAGTTTACACGTGTTGCTACAAGCTATGCAGAATATTTGAAATGCACAACATTTTATTTGTTTCATATTTTGCTGCTGGATACCGGTTAACATTTATTAAGGGTTTCTTTTTGTGTATTGGTGTTGTTTAGCTGTGAGTAGAACAGTACTGGGTGTCAGGTTACTATGTTCTTCTCCATGTTAATATCCTGTTTGTTTTGAATCACTTCAGTTTGAACTTCTACAATTACTGTGGTGCTAAGTATAGACTGGGCTGAAGTCTGAATTGTTCAAAACTATTTTGTAAGCAAAGTGTTCTAGCTAAGCTGAATAACATCCAAAAACAGCGCCTGGAAGTGACAAATGTCATAGTTAATAATAGTGTCCTATCCACCTTAAGATCTTAATTTTTTTTTTAATTATCAGCATTTCAATCTTGTTCATGCTAAATGTTTGCTTAGTTTGCTGGCCCAGTTATAAATAGAAATGCAGTTTTAATTACATATTGTAGTTTGGAAAGAGGTACTTATAAGTAAGTGACTAAGATGTAAGGTTTCTTAAATGTCTTACTGAGCAACATGGTGAAAGTGTAACGCAAAGAACTAAAATTTGTGAAGGATTAGAGAAAGCTATTGGGTTTTCTCTGATTGTCTAGTCATCATTGTATTTCTAAAAGCTCACCGTTAGATATAGGGAGCTGAATTTGGTTACTCTGATCTGGCAAATTTAAATGAGATGAAGAAATGAAATAATTTGTGCTACAGGATCAGCTTAGAGTGCTGTAAACAGAGTTTATGGTCTTTATACATTTTAATGCTCTGATCTTGGCTTTTGAAATGAGAGCAAATGACTGATTCATAATCTTAAAGTTTCTTCCTGCAGATCATCTTGTTTCTAAAAATTCCATGGCATGATCGAGGTAAGACAAAGCTGTTTTACTTGAGTAACTTTGATCATGGTTTATGCAATTTACTTAGAATTGTGAGTTCCCATGAGATTCTGAGCCAAGAACCGAAGCTACATTAAGCCAGTGTGTAGAAACTGAAATGTGATTAACTTGTTAGAGGTTCAGTCTGTTATGTAAACATAGTTTTAGTTTATGCCAGCTTCTAATACCTGCTGGGATATTCTGGTTGGAATTAGTAGCTCAGAGTCCACTGTTTTGAAATTTCATGTCAAACAGGTGAGTTTACTTTTACGGAATTGTAACATAACAACTGGACACATTTTCCAAACAAGATTCATCCTTAGCTCAAATCTCCCAAATATTTCTGTTCTTGCATATTACAACTATAGTGCAGCAAGATGCTTTGCTACAAGCTGTTCTTAAATCTTCCAGATTTTAATGAAAAGGTATTACTGTTTATAAATGGAATGGATTTAAAAATTGTATTTGATTACTCTGTTTATATTTAAACAGGAAGAAAAAAAATAGTATGTTTATTAAGCTTTCTTAAAAAAACACACCCAAAAACAAGCCTCTCTAAAATTAGCCACAAAAGAAAGTATATTGAATTTATTTCTGTTTTTGAAAATGCAGAAATAAAGACACATTCTGGAGATTGTATAGATTATTTAAGTTGAATAAGCAGTGCTTCTATTTGGAATTAAAGTGAGACCTTCTGTCTTAATCCCTTGGAATTTTACATATTGTTGGGAAAGGAAATATTCCAGAAAAACATGGATGGGAATGCAATCTTTACCTATACAAATCAGAGGCCATGCACCATTGGGGGAAGATGTGTTTATAAATTATTTTGCAGTAATCAATATGCAGTGATCAGGAACAACACAGATACACTTAAAATATTACTCTTATTCAAATATAAATTAAAAAATGGAAATCATCCCCTATTGATGAAATGGCTGGATACCTTTTATGCCACAATAGGATGTTGGGGTCCTCCTCTTTTTTTAAATATATAGTATCCTATGGAAACTAGGCTCGCAAATGAGATATTTATCATCCATTCACAACTGTATCCTTCTGATACCTCATCCAATTTTTTTTAAATTTACATTTTTATCCTGTCCTTCCTCAAAGCAGCTCATAGAATCCTATGTAGAAATTACTTAAATCTCCAGGATAAATCAAGATTAACTTGGGTTTTTCTGATCCAGGTATATTGCATCATAATGTATAATATCCAGCTGCTGCTTTTCAAATGCTGAGGCTTAAACCTGTACTGGATACGTACATTTTCTCTTTTGTGTCTTTTTAAAGTAATGTCCAGTTATTTCAGATCAGTAAGTATCCAGAAATTAATATTCAGCAAAATGAATTCAAGGGGAATCTTGCATGTATTAGTAACTGAACTCTTTCTTTGATGCTGAGGATTAAACGGTTGTTTTACAATCTCTTGTTGTAGCTACTTGTGCATGGGCTGAAGTAAGGAACAGCTGGAGTACATGTGCCAGGCTTGAGTTGGCTGCTTGTTACCCTTGCTTCATGGTGTGTGTGCCTCTAAACATGAGGCATTATTTTGGATTATAGTCTGCCCAGGCGTGTTTTGCATTTCCCAGCTGTTTCACAATTTTTCTCTGCGTAGCTCCATCAGCTGCTTTCACATATGTAATTTCAGCTATGTTGGTGCTCTGATTTCTGTTTCAACTAATTTAACTATTTATTCGGCTCCTGATAGAGTAAGCTGTAAATGGCTAGAATAGTTTAAAAACAGCTTATTAATTCTGGTAGTGCTTTGACAATGTGTAGGTACTAAAGTTTGGCAATATGAAATGATTTGTCAAATGAGTAATGTTATAATGCAGTATCTAATGCAATATTTAATAGTATAGGAGTACAGTGGCAGACTAAACTCCAAAACAAGCAGAACTTAGAAAATACACTTAATCATCTAATTAAAGAGAAATGGTAACAAGGCAAGAAGTTGAAAGAAATATATAGACCTTTAAAGGTCAGCACCTGTTTTTCAAACACATGGCTTCAAATAGTCATGCAATGAGAGGCAATAAGACAATTTCTTAGCAAAATGGACTCTGATCCCATGCAATTAATAAGAAATTCCTGAATATCAGAAAGGACAAATTGAGAAGGAAGATGCTAATCCTCACATAAGGATATATAATCAATATATAGTGACTCTGCTGAACACTTAATGACCACAGTATTGTCTTACTGTATATCTAAGGATATTTACCCATATATATAGTATTATCATTAACCTTCTCATCTTTTTATCATCTGTCCAATCATACTTGGCCAATAAAGTATTCTGTTCTATTCCTATTCCTACTCCTACTTCCATTCCACTCCACTCCACTCCATTCCATTCCATTCTATTCTATTCTTGACAAAGATTAGAGTTCCAGATGTTGAGTATCAACTCCTAACTTTGTTCAAAGTTGACTGTCTTCACTGAGTTGCTTGGAACAAATACTTGGAAGTCATATCAGACTCAGCCCTCATATAAATAGAGACTTATGGGTGCCAGATAGTTTTACATAAATTAAAAGCTGGCTCGTATTGTGTTCGCAATCATTTGTTAATAATGAGGTTAGCAAACAACATAAATTAGTCAGCCATAAAGTCATATTTAGATGGAGTTGTTTGATATCATAAATGTTAAATTGCCTTTTTCAATCTTTTGTCTTGCTAAGCCCAGTTAACTCTGGGATGTTTTTTTTTCAAAATCTTATCAGTCCTCCAGTTAAGGGTTGAAGATACAAAGTGACCGGAAAATCAAGCTTCTCCATTACAGAAAGCATTATGAAACACTGGTAGTCTAAAATCTCTAACTTTCTCTTGTCTACGGCTATCTGAACTCTACCCACTACTATCTGCTTTGCTTGTGAAAAAGAAGTTGGTGATGTAATGAAATATTGCCAATTCTTAGTACACTGGCTTATGGTATGCTAAATAATAGAAGAGGAAGTGGGATGCTCTTTATATTATTTTAAGTATGAGTGTGTGAAGCAATAATTCTGAGTTTGAAAAGAATTGTTACTTTTCTGGAAACTGGAGTTTGAAACTGAAATTCTGAATTCAGAATAATCTGTTTTGAATTTGGAAGGGTTCTGGAATGGGATATTTCAACCTCAACATGTTTCAGATTCAAAATATTGAGACATTCTGAATTGTGAAATACTTAAGCTATCTGTAAACAAATTTGGCTGGGTTGGAGGCTGACTAGATGAAGCATGCTGTGTAAATAGTGTGATACAGTATAGTCATGTGCAATCTTTGGTATTCTCTGAGCTTGGTTGTTTGCTTGCAGACATTTTATTACCCAGCCAAGTAACATCATCAGTGATGTTAATCTGGTTGGGTAATGAAATGACTGGCCCCAAATCGCCTAGATAGTTTTCATGCCCAAGGTGGAAATAGAACCACTAAACCTGCCTACCTGTCTGTCTGTCTATCATCTATAAATGGCTGTGTGTGTGTGTGTGTGTGTAACTCTGGAACACCTCGAGGAATTTCAGCCAATGTGGTAGGCAGATGACTTACCTTCTGGAAAAAAAATACTGTGTGGGTAAGACACCCCTTACACCCTTCGGTGTGTGTGTGTGTGTGTGCCTTAAAATGGGTTCTACTGTGCAGCACAGTGGACTTGGCATGGTAACAGCTTCACATATTCCACAAGGGGGCTCCCTCTCAGCCCTCCAAGGAAACATCAGGCGAATGGCCAAGTGCAATCAAACGCTACAAAAATGAAATACCAGCCTAAACAAGAAGGAGAGGAATAGAAGGCTTGCGACGCTGTGCAGGAGACTGTACAACAGTGTGAGTCCCAAGTACAGCATTTTTTGGCTAATAGAGGATTGGGATAAATAAATACCCGGGTTATCAGCATCTTGTATATGGAACAGCTTTTTAAGT